ATCTTTGCTGTTATTGCTGGTGTGAGATGATATCTCATTGTTGTTTTGATTTGCATCTCTTTAATGGCTAGTGATCGTGAACATTTCTTCATATGTTTGTTGGCTGCCTGGATCTCTTCCTTGGTGAAGTGTCTGTTCATGTTCTGCATGCAGTTCATGTTTTAAAAGGTCCTGCCAGGTTGGCCCCTGGTGTGGTGCTGAAGACACGGTCCGGGATATTCCCTGGCCCCTTCCTTCCTACCTCCCCTTCCCGCCTTTGCCCTCCCTCCTCTGGCAGGAGGAGGCATGCAGGCTTGGGTGAATGCACTATGGCATACAGTGTCTGTGAAGAAGAAAATGAGAGACTCGCTGAAAGTTTGAGGAACCAAGTTACTGCTATAAAATCTCTTGCCATAGAAATATGCCATGAAGTTAAACAACATTTCATTAGTTGAAATGCATTCACAGTTTGATTCTACAACTGGATTTCTGGGTAGAACTATGGGAAAACTGAAGATTTTATCCAGAGGGAGCCAAACCAGGCTGTTGTGCTATATGATGCTATTTTCAGTCTTTGTTTTTGTGTGTGTGTGTCATTTACTGGATCATTAAACTAAGGTGATATAAGTAAGTGTGAATTTAGAATTTGTTCCAACTTACTGAGTTAGTGGAATACTGCTTTGTTACGAATCAGCATTAAGACAGTTCTCATTTTCAAGTTTGACTTTTTCCATTGACGATTACTGAATCCAGGACTCTTCACTTGTTTTACAAATCACATTAAATAATTCACTGCTCTTTTTGGTTATGTTCACTTGTCAGTTGCATAACCAGTAACACCCACTAATCCTAATATTTTCTTAATATTTGGAGTCATCTCTCCACCAATACCAGATCGGACAATCTCTCTCCTCCTTGCTCGAGTCAGAAGAGATTCGGTCAATGAAGACCCTAATTGGATCACAGGCGCTCTGAAGGCTGTCACTGTCGCACTTTCCTTGCGGCTCCAGAAAAGGGCGGCAGAAGATAGGTTTGGGAATGACCTTGGGGCAAGCTTGATTACTTCAGGATGTCGAATGGCTCCCATGAACTCAAACCATTCTCCAAGTTTACTTCTGAGATCCTGCTCAGTGTAGAGAAATTTGGGAATTTCAGATGCGACAGCTGGGAGCGCGAGTGTAGCATCCATGCACTGATCAAGGTACTGTTTGATGGTTGAGTAAGTTGTCATCTGAGCATAACTTGCAACCATCCTAATTTGATCCATGAGTTCTCTTCCTGGTGACTCAAAAGTAGTCATTAGAAGACCGAGTATAAGGTTTCCTGCCCATGGTTGAGAGTTGATCCAGTCGATAGCTGAACTTGGTGGATAGAGATCGAGTGCCGTTGCGGTTTTGCTATGGCCTTGCTTATTCAATGTGACCATGAGAGTCTTAAACCATCTTTTAATCTGCTCTGAACCACTTCGAATCTTCTCAGATGAGCCGATGACTACACCTATAAGCAATGTACAACAATGTCCAAGTAATGCTGACATTTCCAATGCTGAGAGGCTCCTATCTTCCACGTCACTCAAGTGCAGGGCTAACGTTTCATAAGCAACTCGATCACCATCTTTCACCGGGGCGGCTAAGTAGGATCTTTGGTGAACACCTGCTGCATTGAGTGCTTCCCAGAGGCCGGGGATGAGATAACACATGAATACTAAGCTTGCTGTCACTGGGTGAAATCGGGAGCGATGCTCATGGTTGAACATGGACAATGTATTCTTCTCTATGTCTGCATGACGTCCTATCCCTGGATGGGGCTCAGTCGAGTCGAGCTTTTTCTTATTGTTTGTCTAAACATTAAATATTGAAAAATACTGTTAGTACTGTAAATGTAGGTTTAAGTTCCATGTAAAGAAATTTGAGTCGGACAGTAACAGAAAGGTGTAGAGAACTGAGGCTGAGTTGTGATGATGGGGAGCAAACTGAAAGTGGTGGTGGTGGCTCTGACTCACAGCCACCCTGTACAGGGTTTCCAAAGCCCCATCTTTTTCCTGTGGAAGGACTGGTAGATTCGTCTTACTGGCCTTACTGTTAGCAGCCCAGCTCGTAATCCACTGTGCTACCAGGGACCCTTAGACTGAAGGTGGAGTGACTGATGTATTTTCCTAAGGTATCACCAGCTTTAACGGTGTGCTCCCCTTCCCTCCTTTATTTGTTAAAATTGTAGATGGATGTCTTACCTATAATCCTCACAGTAATTTTCCATGATGTAGCTCTACTTTCTTTCCTTTGTGCCCAGGACTCCATTCTTTACTAAAGCTTGTTGTTGTGACATGTTTCTAGTAAGGCTCAATACAAATGCGTACCAGCATGGTGGTGGTGGTTAAGTGCTGAGGAGTTGGAACCGACTCATAGTGACCCTGTACAGGGTTTCCGAGGCTATAAATCTTTACAGGAGCAGAAAACCTCATCTTTCTCCCATGGAACAGCTGGTAGTTTCGAACTGCTGACCTTACAGTTCACAGCCCAATTCGTAACCCCTACACTACCAGAGCTCCTTAGTTATTGCTTTATATTAGCTTTATAAATTACAATGACTTGATTTACAATAGTTTTGTGACTTTAGCTATTTAAGGGGGCCATTTGGTTATCATTTACAACAAAGTAATATGAAGCTAAGAAATTGCTAAGTTCCAAATGAAAATAAATTGTTCAAGAAAAATAATTGTCTCTGCTTTACTATGTGCTCAAAATATATAATGAAAGTACCAAGGCCCTGACCTTGAAGTTAAGAGTGTTGTTGCTTTAAGGCATTATATTCATTTATGGAAAACAAAGCCCTCATGTGGTTTGTGAAATGTTAGCTATATTAAAATTGTTGTTAAATACTCTATTCCTATTTTGGAAGTGACCCATTTATAACCTCAAAAAATAAATTTTTAAATGAAATTTATTAATAGACTTTGTTACTCGTTTTGTTATAAAATTCAGCATTCTTAAAAAAATGAAATAAAAAAGATACTGCCAAATTGTCCTCCAGAAAGATTCTGCCAATTACACTTGCACCAAAAGTGTACAACACCATTTCTCACCACCTCCCCTACCCCCACGTCTATAGTACCAATCTTTCTTCTTTGGGCTCATCTGATGTGGGGGAAATGACATCTTATTTATAATTTTCATTGCTGGTAAGGTTAAAGATCTTTTTATATGCTTCCTAGTTCTATTTTTCTATGAACTATTCACAATGTTTTATCTGTTTTTCTAATTATCTTTTTCTTATTAATTTGAAGTCTTCATCTGTTCTGGATATTACTTTTTGCCTACCATATAAACTGCAAATATGCTTCTCCATTAGCTTCCTGAATGTGGAATTTTTATAGCTATTCCTTTCTCTAAGTATATTCTTAATCTTTGAGTCTACTCCAACTGTGTTAATTCTGTTCTATTTAAGAACACATGCAATGTCCTTATTTTGTTATCTATATTTCGTTAATCTCATCCTTTCCCTATAACACTTTACAGAACATGGCATGGCATCATGTACATAAATGCCTTTTGATCATTTTGGACAATAAGAAAAACCTACTTTGTACGGATCTAGATTCTATCACTGAGTAAACAGCACTGTTGCTCAAAGTTGGCTGCACATTGGAATCACCTGGGAACATTACTACAGACACCTGGATCTCGGCCCCAAAGCTTCCAGTTTCAATGGCCTACAGTACAGCCTGGGCATTAGGATTTTACCCTCTCCTGGTGATTCTGAGGTTCAGCCAAGTTTGAGAACTGGTTACGAACTGGGCTGCGAACCTTAAGGTCAGCAGTTTGAAACTACCACCTGTTCCGTGGGAGAAAGATGAGACTTTCTGCTCCCATAAAGATTTACAGCTTCAGAAACCCTGTACAGGGTTGCTATGAGTCAGAACCGACTCCACAGCACACAACAACAAGAGACTTTAGTCAGTTCTTCTTTATACTGATGGGTTAGAATACTGCTTTTTCTAACACTGCAGTTTTTCCTAGGAGCTCTGGTAGCATAGTAGTTATGAATCGGGCTGCTAACCTCAAGGTGAGCAGTTCGAAACTACCAGCTGTTCCACAGGAGAAAGATGAGGCTTTCTGCTCCCGTAAAGATTTACAGCCTCAGAAACCCTGTACAGAGTCACTATGATTCAGAACCAACTCCACGGCACATAACAACAACAAATTATAAGACGGGCAGTTCAAACTCACTAGCTGCTCCATGGAAGACAGCTACAGCTTTCTGCTCCTGTAAGGATTTACAGCTTCAGAAGGCCTACACAGGGTCACTGCAAATTGGAAATGACTTGATGGCAGCAAGTTCAGTTTTGGTTGGTAGTGCTATTTGGTTTCGTTGAATTAGGGAACTACTTTCACCAAGTATATCAATATTGCTTTCCACAAGAGTCAAAACACTTCTTGTTACAAATCAGAAGGCTTAAATAAAAACCCCAGTTACGTTCAGAGAGGCAACCCTGCTCATAAAAGCCCATTCCACCAGAGTTCTGCATAGCAAATGTAAAAGCGCAGTCTGAAACTTTGGGATGCAGAACTACAGGCGATGTACTGTCTGTCTGCTTTCTATCCACTGACCCCAGACACTTCACAGGTAACCACTGTTACCCTGGTGGGGAATTTACATATAGAGATCATCACCATCCTGAGGCCCCAGCAGAGGAGACACCCGCCCTTCCAGTTTATCTTCATGTGATCAATGCCAGTTTCCCAGTGGGCGTGCGTATTTATAAAGCGAATCTAAACACTCTGAATTCCCTTTAACACAAAGAGTATGTGCTGGATGTAAACACACTACTCCTCTCCCATCATCTGCAAATTTACAAACACCTTTGATCACCATCCCCATGGACAACTCAAGATACAGGATGAGTAAATGGAGATGGTTATTTTCACATTATGTTCATTTGGTTAACCTACTCAAAGTCAGAGACTTCTATTTTGAAATCAGATAACAGACTTCAGACTTTTTTCCTGATCCAATTTATATTGTTGAGTCTCTTGGATAACAGTGGACCTGAAGGTGCTGGGAATAATTTTATATTGGTATTTTTCACTCTCAACTGGATCACAAAAATCCTCAACAAACAGAGAACTAAAACAGAATTAGAAGAAAAGGAGACGGAAGATGGAGAGCAGTAGTCTGCTTTTCACTATGCCTCCACTTTTAATGCAAATCACGTTAACTGGCTTTATAAATTTGACCCTAAGACTGGAAAGGAGTCCTAGTGAGGCACTGTAGGATCGGCACTGGACTGCTAACCATAAGGTTGGTTGTACACCCACCAGCTGCTCCATGGAAACCCTACACAGGGTCGCTGGAAGTCAGAACAGACTCGCTGATGCTTAACAACAAGAAAACTGGAAAACAAACACTGTGGCAAAAATAGATGATCAATTCCCAATAAAGTATAAGCAAAGATGATAACACCTGAATCTGATTCCCATACCCTGTTTCTGAAGAGCTCAGATTCAGTGACTTGGCATGGTGCAAGGCCTCAGAGCCGTCACTAAGAGGAATTGCTTTCTAGAAATTCCCTTTAGTACTTATATCACATTCTTCTAGATGTTCTTAAGGGCAGCTTCACTTTTCCGTTGAGAATTAACTTGATTTTACAAAACAAACAAAAACTCATATGGAACCCATCATGGTGGCTCCATACGATAAACACTGGACTGTGAACTACAAGTTCTGTGGTTCTAGCCTGCCAGCTGCTCCACGGGAGAGAGATGAGACTTTCTCCTCCTGCAAAGTTTTAAAAAGCCTGGGAAGCCCAATACCAGATTGCTATGAGTCAGAACCTCTAGATGCCTGGAACAACCAGTTATCTCCAACTCCCAGAACATCCTTCTGACAAGTGAAGACCTGAATATCCAGATCCTATGACTCCTGGTGTGTGCTGTGGGATCAGCACTGGACTGCGAACTACATGGTTGGCAGTTCAAGCCCACCAGTCATTCAAACCCACCTATACAAGGTCAATATGAATTGGAATCAACTCGACGGCACTTAACAATACTTCTCTCTGTTCAGGGATTGTGCCACCAACAGACTCCATTAAAAACAAACCAACTAAACACCTGCATTTTCAGAACTCAACTAAAGATTCTTAAGACTTACGGTAAAACAATCTTTATCTGAGAGGGGAACCTACACATGTTAGCTAGGGCTCTCCTATTTTTTGTGTAGAGGTGTGCTTTCAATTTGCTCTGGTCAAGTGTAAAATCTCATTTAATTTTGCCTGTCTTAATCCTACATGAGATTATAGACATGTTCCATTTTGAGAATTTATTAGAAACAGTAAATATTTCTTTAAACAGTTGAAACTTTGGTAGGTATTATAACACCAAGAGAGGCCCTACATTTTATTTTACCTCCATTTTGCTACAAAGGAGACCTCAGATTCAGCATTGAGCTCAGCAATCAAAGGATCACAGGGAACACTACGGCGTCAACAATAGTAAAGAGTGGAAGTGTAGACCTGGAAAACAAGTAGCTACAATTTGGGTAGAAGAGACCAGACCTGTGTCTTAAACACAAAACAAAACAACCTACATTAAAAACTGATGGAATGTTTTCTAAGCAAAACACAAACACCCTGAGAACTCTCCCTAAAGCAGCGAGTACTATGCTGGAGGTTTCAGAAGGTTCCCGGAGAACTGGAGAAGAATTACTACCCTGTTGCATCATCACTCCCAGGGAATATTAGAGCCATGGAGTTTGCCA